CCGCTCCCCACGGCATCCCCGCGGTCCCTCGCCCTGCGCCCATCACCCTGCCTCCGGCTCCCGCACCCTCCCTCTTTGCTGTCCCCGCACCCCGAGCCGTGCCAGGCACCCACCAGCCCCTCGCCGTGTCCCCCGGTCCTCCTCCCTGCCCCCCCTCACTGTGTGCCCCCCGTCCTTCTCCCCGCACCTCAGCATCTCGCCCCCCACCCCTTGCTCTAAACCACTCACAGCACCCCAGGACTTTGCCAGGTGCCCCTCGCCGTGTGCCCCTCTCTGTACACCCCTCACCCTGCTCGGGCTCTCCCTGGGCAGGGCAGGATGTCCCTGGTGGGGACCCCGACACCCCTGTCCCCCCGACATCAGCAGAGGGGTGACAAGATGACAGCCCCGCTCCAAAAAGTGACAGCCAGGGATTCCCACCGTCGCTATTTCTCTTCCACATTTATTCCCCAAACCCCCTTCCCAGCTGATGGAGGAGAACGGGCAGAGCTTTGCTGCTCCCCCTCCTGCTTTTGGGTGGGTGCTGGGGTTCTGGAGACCCCCACCCACATTTCCACCACAGACTGGAAGGCACTGGGCAGCTCTGGAGCCCCGGCAGCCTCTGCCCCATCGCTGCCCCCGGCCCCGCTCCTCCTGAAGGCTCCTGGGCAGACTCCAGAACGGGTAATTTTTTCACTATCAGCTATTTATACAAATACTGGAACTTCTAAGGCAGGCGGTCTCCAAATATGGCATTTTGAAGTTTCGGCCAAATGGGGGAATGTTGACAAAGAGGAAAAAAAGATATGTGTAAAAAATTATCCAGTTGGCATTTCTTCCCATTCATGAGCTAGCAAAACAGAGTCCCGTTTTTACAAGCTGGATCTTTACAAGGCTGTTTTGGTTTTTCAAAGCAGTCAGATGAGGGCTTGATGCAACCCGTTTTAGCTCCCAGCTCTGGCATTAATTGCTGCCTTGGACCGAGCCCTGGGCTTGCTATTTACAGGGCGATCCTGCCCCTCCACTGCCACGGCACATGGCACAAGCAAGATGTGCCCAGGAAAGTCACAATCTTTTTAACGTGGCTGCACGGACAACTCCAGTGTGTGTCGGTCCATGGAGCTGCAGCTGGGATTTGTGTCTGAAAAATAAAGGAAGACCATCCGTGGGAATGGCCATGGATAAGGAGGGCACTGGGCTTGGCGTGATGGAGCTGGTGGGGACCGGGCACGGGGGCAGGATGCCCGGGTCTGACACGACCCTGTTGGGTGACCAGGGGTTGGTGGCTCCCCATCCTCATCTCCACTCCCCATCCTCACCTCCACTGCCCATCCCCATCCTCATCTCCACTCCTCATCCTCGCCCCCACTGCCCCAGCAAGCCCAGTGTGTGCCCACCCAGCAGAGCTGGGCTCTGCAATGGCTTCTGGGCACCAAAAAGTCTGCAGGACTCAGCCCCCAGGGATTTTACAGTGAATTCTCCCACAGATGGTCCTTCATGGCACGTTCAGACCCTCTCCACACCACCGTGCCCTGGAGGGGAGCCTTTCTGCCATGGTCAAAGTGAGTAACAGACAGATGTGCTGCCCACAGCAGGACAAACAGCTTTCCTGAGGGCACAAAGCATCCGAAGCACCACTTCTGATGGCTTCTCTCTGGCAGACAAATGAGACTTTTCCTCCCGCTCCCGGACAGGAGAGCTCGGAGCCCTCCTCCCTTCCCAGGGAGCCGCCTGGACTGGGGAGAGGAAGGGAGAGTCCCAGGCATTTCATCAAGGCAGGGGAAGTAACGTGGCTCGGTATCTTTGTCCCAGTTTTACAGCTGGAAAAGCTGAAGCACGGAGATGCTGGGTCCTGCGCAGCCCTGACCCCCATCCCCTCTGCTCCACAGCCTCACCCTGAGCCCCCACGGAGCTGGAGACCCCGGCTGGACCCTCCAGCCCAAGGAAAGCATCCTGTCCCCTTGCCCATCCCTGCCACCACCCCGAAACACCCGCCCAGCTCCCTACCTGAGCAGCCACTGCGGGCAGGGGGAGGCAGAGCCGGCCCCGGAGAGACCCTGCGGGTCAAGTGGCTGTTTAAAAAACTCTGGGAAAATATGTTTATGCCATGGATCACAGCAGCTCCTTTGGCTGTTGCTGCAGAATAAACAATGGATATTTAAAAATACTTCTTTATACATAGATTCAGGGTGGATTAGGGAAGATCCCTGGTTGGGGAGAGCTGGGATGCAGGGAAGGAGCGGTGGAGTTCTGCTTGCACATGGAGCCCAGGGATGGGTTTGGAGGGAGGAAAGAGGTGCTGGTCCCAGACAAATCCAAGGGAGCACAGGGTCTGCCTGGCCGTCGTGTTAGAAGTGGCACAAGAAGTAGTGGAGCCCTCTGCAGAGGGGGTTCAGAAGATCCTGGAGGATGCCTCATTATGGGGCATTTCCCCCACAAGTGGAGCTGACCACCAGGGCAAGATCCCCGCAAGGTCCCCAAATCCTCCCAAGGCAATGCCAAGGGTGTGCATGCCCCCCCTGCAGGGTCAGGCTCCCCCCCACCAATGCCCAGCGCTGGCCCAGCAGGGAGCAGGAACCATCCTTCAGCCCAGGGGAGGATGGAGCAGGGGCTTCCTCCTGCACGGAGCTCAAATTCCCTTGTGTAGGAGGGAAATAGCCCAGGATGATCCAGAGGCAGCTGGCCGTAAGCCCCCCTTCCTGCAGCTGGGGCACCCCCGTAGCCCTGAGGGCTACCTGCTTTGGCCACCCCCGGTGCCCTGAGCCTGTGCCAGCTCTAAACCACCCTCCCTCATCTTAAAGATTTTGGGTGCTGTCACTCCTGCTTAAGTGGGTGTAAAGTCCCTGCGCTGCTTAATCCCCGTCCCACCGCCTCATCCACCCCCACCAGGCTGCTCACAACACCCCAATTAATGTGTTTTGGGTTCACACATGGGGCTCCGGTGCTGCTAATCCCCCTCTCTGGGGCTGCGGGTGAGGCTCCATCCCGGACACGGGGAGCAGATAAATTAGGTCCTGGCATTTAGCAGAGAGAGGGGAGTGTGTGACTAATGTGTTTTGGGTTCACACACGGGGCTCCGGTGCTGCTAATCCCCCTCTCTGGGGCTGCGGGTGAGGCTCCATCCCGGACACGGGGAGCAGATAAATTAGGTCCTGGCATTTAGCAGAGAGAGGGGAGTGTGTGACGGCGGCAGGAGCTCGGTGGGGTGGGGGACAGGGGGCTGCATCCCGAGGGGTGACGAGCTGGTGGTGGTCACAGCCTGGGGGCTGCAGCCTTGGGGCTGCACGGTGAGCCAGGGAGGTGGTGGAGCTCACCCCATCACCCACAACCAGGAGACCCAGAGCAAACCAGAGGTACCCCGTGTGCCTGTGGGAATATTCTCCGGGATGAGCCTGGCCAAGGGAGGATGGATGATTCCCATCTGCCCAGGAGATGAATCCAGCCCGGGCAAGTGGTGCACGAGCCTGTGCGCAGGGGAGGAGGGCACCCGCTATCACTTCCCTGCCCAAGCTGCCACGACCTGCCACCTGAGGTATTAAGCACAGTTTTAATCCTCTGTCCCCTCATGTTCAACTCCTAATTGTGCCTGAGAGCTCACTAAAGCTCAGCAGGCACCAAGCAGGGGCTGAGGCTCGGCGGGAGGAGAGGACAGACCAGGCAGCGAGAGGCAAGCGACAGCTTTGCCTCCCAGCATCGTTAAACTCGGGGCATTCAGCCTCTGCCAAGGCTGATGCCACACCAGGATAAAACAAAAGCTTTTTATAGCTGGGAACTCTTGCCCTCTCTGCCCTGGCATGCTGTTTGCATACTCGCCGCTACGGAGCGAGTGATAAAAACCAGCCCACGACAGGAGTCTCAGCGGCGTTCCTGAGGGACACCGACGGCAGGGACACCGACGGCAGGGACAGGAGCATCCCCCTCTCCCCGGGGTCTCCCTGCTCTCCCCTTCTGTTCAGCCTTCCTCAGCTTCCCCGGCAGAGCAGAGGGTTGGGAAGCAAAGCCACGGCATCAAGTGACTGCACCCAAACTGCCGGCAGAACACTGGGGGGGTTTTGCCTCTTCGCCCCCAGCCCTTCCCCAGGGGCAGAGGCACCCACAGAGATGCCGTTCAGCTTTGCACCAGTAAGGGACAGTGCCAGAGCCCCTCCGGAGCCAGGCTGGTGTTGCAAAGCGTTGCCCGTCCATGGAATTCGGAGCCAGGGCCGCGCTGGCGCAAGGTCCTCAGCCCCGGAGCAAAGGGCAAGGGCAGACAGAGGGTTCATCACCGCAGCCCGGGAGAGCCCCGAGCCCCAGCACCTCTGGGACGGGCATCGCACCCCTGCAGCCCCAGCAGAGCTTGTTCCCCCTCCAGCTTTCCAAAAAAGGTTTTCCCAAGAAACCACACACATGCTCTAGGAATGTCACAGCACCCTTCCTCCCGGCTTACAAGCCCCAGCCTGGCCAGAGCAGCCTGAGCGGCCACTGAAGCCCTCAAGGGCTTGGAGACACGATTTAGTTACGCAAACCCTCAGGGGAAGCAGGTAGAGCGCAGCAGGTTGGGGCTCTGCAGGTGGGGCTAGCACTGTTGAGAGCTGCTAGCCCACATCACGCAGGTCCCACCAGCCCAGGACCCCACAGCATCCCCCTCTGCACGAGGGCTCTGAGCAAGCCCTGCCCAGGGACCCCTCGGACCCACATGCTACGTGGGGCTGAGGAGCCATCCCCTCTGCAGCAAACCCACCAGAGCTCAGAGCCATCCACGACACAAAGCCACACACCCTGTCACTACCTGCTCCCCTGCAAGGCTCCTGCCCCAGCGCTGGCTGCCACCAGGGTCCCACCACCCCCCCAGCATCTTTTATTCCTCCCTCCCTCATCCCTAAATGCCTCCCCTGTTCAGCATTAACCCCTCCTGCTGG